TTTGCTGTTACTGCATTTAAATAATCTTCTACAGAGTATTCAGGGTCTGTTCCTGTGAATACCATTAGTGGTTTATTTGATGTTATTGATGATCCACCCATAAGGTATGGATTCATTGTCATTTGTAGTGATTCTGCGGCATTTGGCTTTTGTGAAAAATTTGAATGTCGATTTTTTGTTATTTCGTGTTGTTGAAGGTAATATGGGAGTGGTATTTCATTTTGCATTTGAGATGGTTGATACGAGTGTGTAATCATTGGGTTTTGTGGGTGAATTGGTTGAAAATATTGTGTGTTAGTTGGATTTTGCATTTGTATTGGTTGTTGATTTCGTGTATCTGTTGGATTTGAAGAAAAAATTCTATGATATGTATAAAGCTTTTGTCCACAATATTCTTGGGTATACGGTGCAAAAACATCTGGTTGTAAATAATCATCATCAGATGATAAGTAATCCGTATGATGAGGTGTTTGCTTTTTATTCTTATTTTGTTGAAAGAATGGGTAATTTTCACTACAATCCTGTGGAGGATGTGAATTAGTTCGAAAATTTACTGAGTTGGTTGTTGTCATTGGGTTATCCCAATAGTGAGAACATACATGATTATTATTAGTTTTTTGTGGGGGATAGTTTGTTTTTGATGAATGAGCATAATTATAATTGTGTTCTGCGAAAGTGTTTCTTTCAAACGTTCTTCGTGTTTTTGACGGTACTGTCATAGATCTATATGTTTGATAATCCATATGTGAATATTTTGGAGCAACCGAAGGTTTAATGGTTGATTGTAATGTTACTTGTGCCAGTGAAGTGTTTGTATTTCTTGGTGTTGTTAAATTTGGACGTATCGGTGAAATAATTTGTTGTGTAGTCGTTGTTTGGACGATTTCCTCATTTATGAAGTGTGATGGTGTTTGGATATCTTGTTGTGTAAGATTCCTAGTTCCATTAAGGTTTTCATAGTGTATGACGGTCGAATTTAAACTATTATTTCGCGTATCAGGTAAAAAGGTATTGTAGTTTAAGGGTGTTGCATCAATGGTCAGTGGTACTACTCTCACATAATCTCTTTGATAAGATATTGTACTTATTGCTTGACTAGAGATTGATTGTGGAATTTTTATAATTGCATGATGAGACCATTCAGGGTCCCATACGTAGTCTGACTGTTCTGTGATGGCTGTATCATCATTTGAATTATGAGGTCTGAAATTTTTTCTTGCTTGTGAAATTAAGTCTATACTATGTGTAAAATAATCTATTATAAACCATGCCAAAATTTTTTGTAATTCATGTTTTGTGTGCTGTGAAACCTCGTCTTTAGTGAAATTTTCTTTGATTATATGTAGGAAAATTGAAAATAATGTGATTTCATGTCGTACTTTTGTATGTTTGGATGTCTCATTTGATGAGATATTTGGAATTTCTGTTTTTTCTAATATTGAAATATAACTATATATTATAGCAAAAACTTCGTTAGTAAATATGGAGTTTGCTCTTTGTGAGTTATGATATTGTATGCTTTTAATATATTCTAAGAAGAATTTTGAAAATTCTAAGTCAAGAAATTCTGTTTGAATTACATATTTACGGTGATTCGGATTTGGTGTGCTGAATTCTATGGTGTAGATTCCATATTGTTGTGTTAAATTACATATATTTTTCAGATAATGTTCAATAATTTGTCTTTTGATTTTTACATCTGGGAATTTTGCTTTGCATGGGCTGATTCCGGGTTCAAACAAATTAAGAAGTAAGTTCTTGCAAAGATCGTGTTGCCCTCTATTATCGGGTGCATCTACGAGGAAGGGGTAAATGTCGTCGTCATCTGGACTATCGTCACTTTGAGTATGGATGTGGCTCATTTTTTCGTTTAATGACTGTTAATATATAACTATCGATGTGTCTAATTGATTTATTCCAATTATATAAATGTACTGGTTTGTGTTTGTATTGCTTTTTTATTCTTCTTTTTCCTCTTTTTGATGAATTTGAAGTTGTTTCTGAGTCGGAAAAACATAATTGATTGTGAATGGGACAATTTTTATCAATCGATTCTTTTAATTTATAGAGTTCATCTAAATTGCTGGCTTCTTATTCTGAAATTGCGTTTCTATTTTTTGAAAATCTTTTTCGTGTTATTTGTCTCTGTTTGTTTATTATTTTTCGTTTTATTGTTAGTCGTTTTGTTCTAATATATCCAACTGTTTGTGTATGAGGTGTGATTACAAGATCGTATTTTTTGTTATCTTTTTCACAGTTGTGTAAAACGATTGTTTGTTTATTTCCTAGATTTTTGAATGACATAAGGTTTTGGATGAAGGATGCAAAAAGTTGTTAAATGATTTTTATTTTCTTAAACGGGTGCATCTACGAGGAAGGGGTAGATATCGTCATCATCTGGACTATCTTCACTTGGAGTGTGTGTCTGGCTCATTTTTTCGTTTAATGACTGTTAATAGGTAATTATCGATGTGTCTAATTGGTTGATTCCAGTTATATAAGTGTACTGGTTTGTGTTTATATTGTTTTTTTATTCTTCTTTTTCCTCTTTTTGATGAATTTGATGTTGTTTCTGAGTCGGAAAAAAATAATTGATCGTGAATGGGGCAATTTTTATCAATGGATTCTTTTAATTTATGAAGTTCGTCTAAATTGCTGGCTTCTGATTCTGAGAATGCATTTTTATTTTTGGAAAATCTTTTTCGTGTTACTTGTCTTTGTTTGGTTATTATTTTCCTTTTTAGTGTTTGTCGTTTTGTTCTGATATATCCAACTGTTTGTGTGTGAGTTGTGATTACAAGGTCGTATTTTTTGTTATCTATTTCACAGTTGTGCAAAACGATTGTTTGTTTGTTTCCTAGATTTTTAAATGACATAAGGTTTAGGATGACGGATGCAAAAAGTTGTTAGATGATTTCTATTTTCTTAAACTGTTAGTCCTTACGATTTTTTGGTTAGCTTAACCTGGGTCTATTTATTTAGGGTTGGAGAGAAAAGTATATCGATTCCGAAGAATGATTTTTTAGTTTCTCGTGGCTATTATAAGCTAAGGTGTTAACTTACTTAATCTTACTTAGGGGTAGTGATTGTGTTCAAGGGTTGGAGAATAGAAAATCGATCCACAAGGTTCAGGTATAATTAGAACGCGAGTAGTTCGTTAGATACTGTTTTAAACTTACTAAGTCTAAGATTTATCCTGGGTCTGGTAAGAGGAGGGATCAAGTGAAGGATGAATAACCGAAGTTCTTCACTGTTTATCCTAATTTGAATGGTTAGTTTTGTTGAAAAATTTCTATTAGTCTTAGGTTTTTTGGAAGGGTTGGGTAGTGAATCGACGTTTGAGGTCGTCAGAAACTTGTTAAGTGGGTGGGAGAGAACAAAATTATTCTTTTCGATCCAAGGATAGGCCTTGATGATCAGGTTTTAAATTTAATGAAATAGAAAATTAATTAAGATCCAAGGATAAGCCTTGATGATCTGATTTGAAAATTAAGTGAATTTAAATTTAAAATTAGTTTTAAATTTATTTAAGAAAAAGATTTAGTTTTTTAATGATATTAGTGAGCTTATGATTGCTGTTATGTTTAGGTGATGAAGCTGGGACAACAGATGATTTAATGATTACTAACAATTTATTGTCATGCTACTAACTTTTATTTTGATTTTCAATCAATATTTTTCAAACATGTTTTACATAAGACTGCAGAATTTAAGAAAACGATTTGAGATCTTTTTATCAATCGTTATTGTATATTAATAATTTTGTTTAGCGCCTGAAATGATTATGAAGATTGACTTCAAAATTTTATGTTTGCAAATGAAAATCTAAATTCATTGCTAATAAGATTCTAATTATAAAAGTTTGTGTTGGCTTTTGCCGTACAATCATGTAACTATATGGTAAGTTTCTACTTTGTCGTATGTCGTCTCTGGTTCGAGGTCTTCTTACGATTCCAGGTAGTTCTGTTATCGTTCGGAATATCGGCTCTGATCTATAGAGTCGTAGAGACATTTCGATTAAATTATCATCGTATAAAATTTTGAAAATGTTTTGTCTAATTTCTAATCTATTTTTGGTTAAATCTAAGCTATTAAGGTCTTATTCGAGACTTATGGTCGCACCAGATGAGTTAAGATCGATGTGGTTAACTCATAGAGTAATTTCGGATAGGGTACACCGTCTGCTCGTCACGCTATCTTATTTTCGGCCGGATAGATTCGTGCAACTTCTTAGTCTAATACCGATCCTAATCTTACTCTTATACTTACTAGTCTCAGGGTGTTTAACTAGTCTCTGCTAGGCTCAAAAGATCTAGGGTATACTGGTTTGTTGCGGCTGCTGAAGTTCTCTTGGAGAGACAACTAATTTCTAAGTTAAATACAAATCTCTCTGGTGCTGAAATTACAAGTAATTTCAGCACTTACAAATAAGTGGGTTGTTAGTTAGATGGATCATGATTGGTTAATATTAAATACTTTACAGTGGTAAAATATCTAATTTATCCAATCATAAAATATAGTTTAGATCAGGTTCCACTTCAGTGGTTGGACGGCTGATAAATATAAAAAAAAGAAATTGTAAGAAAAAATAAATCGCAGAGAAAAAACTTTGTAGCTTCAGGCATGAGTTTTGTTAAAAACGCCCTGTGTAGAATTTTTAAGTCAGTTTATAGTTCAATGATTTTTAATTCAATAATTTTCAGATAGTTAAGACCATTTATCCACGAAGAAAAGAACCTACATACTGGCTGTACGGCTCATCTCGGCGAACCGCTATTGATCCCCTGCTTAAGAACTACGTGCCTCTTTTTTGGTTACTTTTCTGGGCTGGGTAGTGTTGCCCTCTATCAACGAGCACGGATCATGGTGGGTCTCAAACCGACCTTTCGATAGACAAGCGGAGACGTAACCACTTCGCTACCGCTCCACGCTACCTCATTAACAAGCAGGCATAAATTAATGGCATAAAACATGGCATATATTTATTTCAATTGTTTTAGCATGGAGTTGCTTCCTACTGTGGGTGAAGTAACAACAGCTCTCAAAAGTGGGGGATCGAAAATCAAAGCAGGAGTTCAAAAACTTGCTGGTGACGAAGCAGGTGCAAAACGGGCTGTTAATGAGGTAGGACACGGATTTTCACGGGTGGCGGATGGCTTGCCGGTGGTTGGACATGTGAAAGGAGTTGTCCATTACGCCATGGGCGATACTGAGAAAGGGAACCAGAGCATGATTTCTGCTTCGCGTACTACAGTTGTGCTCACGGCCAATTTGTTGACTGGGGGAGTTGGGGGAGGTATCGTCGCTCGTAAAATGGCAGGCGTTGGAAGTGGAGTGGCATTTGACGGAGCTCATTCCTTTATTGACTCAGCTGTTAAAGACGAGAGATCAACACATGGCATATGGGATATAGACCGCAAGTTGGTGGAGTCCCGCAAAAAAAACGGCGGTTTGAATAAACCCACGAATGCTGAAACTGATGCGAACAGATCTGTTGAGTTTGACTTCAAGGCTGGATCATCTGCCGCAAAAACAGTCATAACTTTGGAAAAAGCGCAAACCCAATCGCAGCAAGTAGCTGTTAAGGACACATTTGGCAAAGATGCGTACGAACCTGTGGAAAATGCGGCTAGAGAAATGAAAGGCAATGTCTATGTCGAAACTGTAGTCAGTGACGAGGGAAACGTGAGCAAAGGTTATAATCAACAAGCCAGAGGTGACATAAATATTCACCAGTTGGAACAATTTGGGGAAGAAAGTGGATTTGTAAGTGAGACTGTCGCAAAAACTTCAGCCTTCGCAAACGATTCCGACTTGACCAAAACGCCGCATCAGGATGTTGAGCCTGTGCTACATCAAAATCCTACTGTGTGTATTGAGAATGATGCCATTACCAAAGCAACTTCAAAAAGTTCGAATCCGAATGTTGCACAACTGAATAACTGCAGCATGAAAATGCACGACGGAATTGTTTCTCTCGTAGAGAGATGTGAGAATTGCAAGACTTTCAAAATGGGGAACGTGTTGTCGGACTTGCGAATGGACGTACGAGTTCCTCTGGAATCTATGAGACTCTACTTATGCAAAGCATGCTTCACGGGGGTTGCAGCATTGGTATCAGAAGCAGCTTTTTATGAAGATAAGTAACCGAAACTATACGGATCTTTTTGAATTATAAAAATCTGACTTATGTATAAAGCGAAGCTATACTAACAAACATAAGCGCTCGCACATCATCACTAAATCAATTTTTCTCAATTAATTGATATAATCAGATAGCATGATTATAGATATTTAATCATAATTTATAATATTGTAAAAATTAATTATGAGATTGTGATGGCTTGGAGATCGATCAGTTAGATAATAGACTTTGCGTCTAAAGAAAAATTGCTGCTATTATATTTCGTTAATTGATTTTACTGCTAAAAACTAAAGGATGGCTTAATCGTTTTCTGCAAGGAGTATTGAAGAAAAAACTTGATGGTGTAGTTTTTCTTATCGGATATTTTCTGACAATTCAATTTGCATATTTGTTCCATCCGTGGTAATTGACGCACATTACGTTTCATTGTTTTTAATCCGGCTCAGAAATGGCTCAGAACTGAGATGAAGCAAGCTATTTAGATTTATTAGTACGTTACTAGACGCTAAATATATCAATTAGTACTCTACATAGCAGGTGGGTGGACACAGCGCGAAACAGTCGGAAAAAAAATTTCTCAGTTATTTGGAAATTTTGATCTCAATTTTTCTGAAACACAGATAATATTATACTCTAGAGCAGGGACGGATTTAGGTGTGGGTTTCAGACGCCGCCCCATCCCCCCTCAAGAATTCCAACCCTCGCCAACCAAAGGTTCCCTTTTTGGTATCATTTAATGACATCCACTCTAGGCCGACCAGCACTAAAATTTTTGTAAAGGCCCCTTTGGCGCCAATAAATGCTAATTTTGAGGAAAGCAGGTGTCGAAAAATTGCAAATTATTTAGTCATTTCCAAAAAGTGCCCAAAACGGCTTTTTTTTCCAAATATTTGACTGCCGCGCAAAAATTTCGATTCAAATAAAATCTTTAAACTGTTCTGCGAAAGCTCATAAAATCAATTTGATCAACCTAAGAAAAAAGCAACAAAATTTTTGAAACTGCTTTCCGACAAAATCGTAGGTCCGCCCCTGTTTTGAAAGGCTGTTGAACCACTTTGCTTTCGGACCTGATACGAGCAGATTTGTCTTAAATTGATCTTACTATTTTTGTTTTCTCTTCAATAATTGCAACTGCGACCCTAACCTGCTTTATTCGGCGAAATCAGCAACTCAATGCTTTGATGATGCTGGAACTGAGAAAGGTATTTACTTTTTGAAAACTGTTTTGATTCTTTCCATGAAAAATTTTTGGGCTTAGGCACATTATAAAAGAACTAAAATGCAAAAAGTTTTCCTAAACTGAAAAAAAAATTCTTTTCGAACTAGCTGGCTTAAGACAATTTTCAGTGAGTATTAACTTAGCTTTTCTCAATGGATCGTTTCTAGATTCCCAGCGAAAAAAATAAATCAAGTTAACAAAATACGCGGACGGTTTGCGCGCATCTATGGTTTTGAGAGGTATGCAGATTTCAGGCACTTTTTGAAAGGTTTTGACCCTCCTCGTAAATATAATAAACATTGGCGCCACAGAAGCTTCCAAAAACTACTTTAGGTCGATCTTCCAAAGCTGAATATCGTGAAATAGTACCAAGAGGAGATTTTTTTGGCTTCAAGCATGCCCAATACCTCCTACCTCGAAAACCGATACTAATTTTTTCATAATTTTACTAACGCGAACATTTGTGTACTATACGGAGAAAGAGTCATCTTTTATCGCTTTTTGCGGACCTTTAGTATGACAGTTGGGACTGAATTTGCGAAGGTGAGGCTCCCATCCCTACCTGACTACGCTAACTTCTTGGCGATAAAAATTGTTTTGAAGAATGACCTGTCTTCATATGATCTATTGCATCAATTTTCTTGACGTATTTTGGTAGGTGTAATTCTATTAAATTACTTTTTGATTCCATGTTTAATATTACTTTTTATGCAAATTCGATGAACATGACCCGTTTACCTTGGTGATTGCAAATTAAAAAACTACAAATATAAAGTTTAAAAACAGTTGATGACCATAATAATAATGAATTATTTTCAAACAAATTAAATAAACAAGTCTAAGTTCTCTAAAAGATAACTAATAAAGTTTTGAAAGGCAAGCCCAAACTTTTTCAAAAAAATTATGCCAAAAGATGCTTCAGATAGCAGAACATTTGTGAATTATATCTCATTCTTCTAACTAAAACATAAGTTTTTGTTTAATTTTGATGTATTTTCATGAAAACTGGCCAATGCCTTGCTATGGAGTATTCTGAAGGATGGATTAAAATAATGAAAGACCCAGCCACAAGAAAGCCCACTCAATGAATTCCGATTATTGATCGACCTTTAGTATGCATCTTACGACCTAGTTTAGTACTGAAACTTTGCTTGATGATTAAAACATTATTTGAATACTCTTAGGTTTTTCAGCAAAGGGGAATTTATTTGTAGTAATCAAGTCATTCACAACAATTGAGCAGATAAAAAAAAATAATGACAATTTTACTTGATCAACGACATAATAAACAAAAACTTGTAGACTTTTAACTTAAGGGAAAAAATTTGAGGTAACCAAGTTCTTCACAAGAATTGAGCAAAATAAAAGCTTCAAAAAAGGATTCATATTAGTAAAAAATGAATTAAAAGCTGAGAAAAATGAATGACATACAAAATTACACCAGATTATATTGAAATCAACCAAAAAAAAATTTTTTTTGAGAGGCTAATTTTTTTTCTATAAAAAATTTAAGATGTTAATTTTTTTTCTAAAAAAAATGAATTTTTTACTTTAGTAACAATATTTTTTAAAATTCACTTTCAGATTTTCTACATCAAGATGATTTTGATTCAAAAAAACTTGCCAAATGAGTTGCTCATGAAAATTTTTCTTATAAACAAAGTAACTCGATGATAGTTGATCCCACAAAAAAATAGTCACAAAAATATTTCAATTCAAAATTTCGCCATCGGAAAATTGATTCCAGTGGCGCAGTGTTTTGAAGGAAGATATAAAAAAGGATTTCTATTTTTTTCCGACTTGATCAACTACTGAAAATTGATAGACTGTCAGAACAGCGAAAACGATTTCGTGAATTTTCTTTCAAACTAGAAGTGAAAAAAAAAGAACTCAGCGTTCTTTCGAAAAACGGTAAATTTGATATTTCAGCGAAAATACCCTAAATCAGTAATAAATAATTAAATTTAATAGTTTTTAGCCTTTGAACCCCTTATACTACCAGCTAAATGATTTAGGGTCTTGACTGATTAAAATGAGGCATCTTTTTAACCGAAAAACCATAAAAACGTATGTTGGTGGTTCAAAAACCACAGAAACGTATCAGCCAACGTACACTTTAGATAATATTTGAAAAACTGTATCTTGTTAAGGGCCGGGGTGGATTCAACCCGGGTTTCATAGTATCTTTTTTAAGCTACCTACCTTGAACTGCAAAGCAATTAACTCAAACACGTACTAGATTTGAATCCTTTGTCCCCAAAAGCAAAAAATATGCAGCCAAACTAAGCAGGCCAGGTAAGCTGGCCTGACAGAGAACGCAAAACAATGCAACGTGTCTTGTTTTTTTGCCGTAAATTAGCGAACCAACACTTGCGAGCAGGTAGTATCCCCATGAAACTTTGGTATCAATTACCAAAACGAAATCTCTAGCCAAACGAGAACGATGGACACACTAACTTTTCTCTAAAATAGTTTCTCTCAGTTACCGCAAGAAAGACTTGATCTGGTTGGACTGAAATGGGTTGCTAGTGCTAACACGTTTGTTGCGCGTGAATACAAAAAGTTTTAAGCGAAAAAAAAAAAACAGTTAACAAAACTTTGATCGGTCACTTTAGGGGTCTTTTGGTATTTTAGATATCAAAAGTAAATAAGCGAAAAAAGTAAATAAATTAGGGGTTTTTTGATATCCTTGCCGTAAATAAGCGAACCAACACTAGCGAGCAGGTAGTATCCCCATGAAACTTTGGTATCATTTACCAAAACGAAATCTCTGGCCAAACGAGAACGATGGACACACTAAACATTCTCTAAGGTCGTTTCTCTTAGTTACCGCAAAAAGACGTGAGCTGGTCGGACTGAAATGGGTCGCTAGTGCTCACTCGTTTGTTGCGCGTGATGACAAAAAGTTTTAAGCGAAAAAAAAAGTTAACAAAATTTTGCTCGGACACTTTAGGGGTCTTTTGATATCTTAGAGAAGTCTAGCTTACAGTTACAAACCAATCTTTCGAATGAAAAGTCGTGCAGTTTTGTTCTTGTGTTTCAACCTCCATCTCCAAAGAGAGAAGAACGAGAGTAATGATTACTAAGATGAACAAAACAGGGCTGCCTTTGACTAGTCGACGCGATCGAGCGCTCATGCTCAGCTGGAGAGCACCCCTCGTTATGCTCGTTGAAAGAGAGTACACGCTCCCTTGGTCAATGTGATCATATGAAAATTGCGTATGTTTGTGCACAAACATATCCTGCTTATGGTCAGCAAGTTTCAAACGAATAATCGTAAGCGCCACTAGATTAATAGGGTCAATGCTCACCAAATGTTAGATATGAAACTATTGGAACTTTCACCTAAGTATAAAAATGTGCCCAAACTTTTGAATGTAAACTACGGGAATAAAATATCGCAATAAATTCTTCCTAATAACTTCAGGCAATTCTTTCCATGGTCCATCGCGATATGAGGGTCCTATAGATTTAATTTCCTGTTTTTGCTTTTCTGGACTGAAGCGCGCCCTTGCCAGATGCGAATTCGAGATCCTGTATGTTTTTTTTTGTTCCCAAGGGCCATCGAATTATTCATATGTACCAGACAACACAATGTCGTATCCTTACTTTACTTGGTAACCCAGCGAAATGTTCTGAATGTTGCAATTTTAACGTGGAGTGTATAAGTCGATTGATGAAGTTGACTGACCGCTCAATACCTATTCTATTCTAAAAAGAACCGCAATCGGATGCCGCATTCCAATGGAAAAATTTTTGAAGTACAGTCCGGCCTAGAATCACTTCGATACACGAGCGCGAAGAACAATAGCGGTGACGGTTTCATTTTTGCGAAGAATTTTAACTCAAGCAACTGGGGCAGACAATTTTAGTGATTAATGGAAGAGTTCAGACT